GACAGAGTCGACTGCTAGGTAGAACACATGCCCTTTGGTCTGCAGCTGGATATCACATCTACTACACCAGAGATGGAGTAATCTGACATATGCCAAACTAACCTCCTGTATCCGTGCTAAGCTTTCGTCAGCAATCAACCCTCTGGGGTTGGTCGATGCAACTCCCCGAGTAAGTGAAGTGGTCAACACGCTCTACCAACCACTTCTCTCCCTATCTTTAAACCAGGAGTCAATGTAGTCCCTACAACAACAGGATACTATTGTTATAAACAGATTCAGGGAATAACAATACTTACAAAGAATGACTAATTCGTAAATTATCTGCTAATTAACATCAGCATTTCTCATAGCTGTTCGTCAGTAGCACAGTGGTAGAATGCTCGCCTACCACTCCTCATGTGATCCGGGGTTCAATCCCCGACCACCGACGCACTCCTTTACCTCGCTAAGCCAGTAATAAGACTGGTAAAGTGGGAAGGTTGAGTGAGCATGAGGCATGAGCAACCCCACCCCGTAAAAATAAACACCACGGCTGCCGAAACTTCAAGCCTCTAGCTTGAAGCCACTGGAAACGTAAATGAATAAAATTAAAAAACTTAATAATTTATATCAAGTGGACCTATTTGAGTGAACTTTGTCAGATGAATGCTTCATTATCAGAACGAGTTAATAAACGTTAATTCACAGTGTTTTAATTACTCATATCTGGCAAATGTGAAAGCTGTTGATCAGAATAATTTGTATTTTCAGTTATTTTGCATGCATGCTAATGGTAATATCTAGTTCTCAGTTATGCATGAATACTTTCTAATGCATGCTATTTACTATTTGGTGTTATATTTTATTACTACAAAATGAAAAACATTGAATTCTCACTAGATTAGGGAACAAAGTCTACACTTTTTATTATTATTACTATTAAGCTTGATTTTAGAGATTGTTATTAAATTGTCTTTTCTTATTTAACTCATTCGAACAGACGCGCGCACACACGCACACACGCACAGTTGCTGTACATCAAGATAGATAAATCGAAACCACCTTAGATTATGACCAATGCCTACAAAGATTACAACAAGTCAACTGCTCTATTATTAATTACATTGTCATACAATATAAACTGACCTAAACACTATGCGCAACTAGTAAATACTACAGCTAGCTAGTACGAATAATAATAATAATACAATTGAGATAATAATATTTTTGCGTACATACATACATACACAAATACGCCTATTCAATCCTTTTAACCACAAAACCTGTTATTTTTGAAAATAACACCATATGAGATAAGTAAGTGTGTGTGTGTGTGTGCGTGGGTGCTTGTGTACAGCGCTTTCTTTCTGACCTATTCACATACACACAATCTCACCAAATGGTTAACGAACAAAAGAAAAGAGAGAGAGAAAAAAACAACTACAAATAATCGAAATATAACCAATAAACGCAATAAGAAAAACTCAATCTTATATTCTTTTTTTGTTTGTTCTAGTTTGAGAACAATTGAAAACAAGTAGGGAGTACTGGTTGCATCCTAGTTTGGAAAATCATCGGCAATAAGCACGCACCACAGGGGTTCGAACCCAGGAGCTTCCGGTTACAAGGTAAGCTTGTATACCATTCAGCCAATGGGACCCGATTCAATGGCCAGTCCGTGAATTCTAACTTCTACCAATTCGTGATTTTAGTTCGACTGGCATGAACCAACGTCATCGGCGGGAAATCCATTCTCACCTCCCGACTGGATGGACCTTACTGGTCATGACTTCTCACTAGAACTCCAGGAAACTCCGTCCCGTAGCAAGTCACTGGCGAGCATCAGATTAATTTTTAAGAGTTGGTTTGTAAGGATTAGTTTTGTTTTTACGAGTTGATCACGGATTGATATCAGTTAGAGTAGAACCATTGAAAACAAACAGGGAGTACTGGACAGCTGCTGTTTCATCCTAGTTTTGGGAATCATAGGCAGTAGGCACCCACTGGTTAAACTCGATAAAGAGAAAACGTTCAGCGAAGAGACTTTTCGACGGCGAATTCATTCACATAGCTGTACAATCGCATTTATATATAGTTATTTGTGTGTGTGTACATGAGGTTTGTCAAGTTTAGATAATTGATTAGTTAATACAAGAATGATGTAATATAGAAACAAAGTTAATCAGACAGCAACTAAAGTAAGATTGAGTTAGTAAGCTAGATGATGTAATATAATTGACTAGAAATTGAGTGTTGTTCAAGTCAGTAAGAGTGAAAGTGAGGTGTAGAAATTGAATCGGGTGGGGGTAGAGAACAAGAAAGTTGAAGATGTAAAATATTACAATTGAGAAGACAAAATAATACTTATGAAGAGACAGAAGAAAAGATTAGGTAGAATTTATTTGTCAGCTAATAAGGTAGATTACGTCCATTGCAAGTGTAGCGATGGAACGAACTTCTTCTGTATGCAGAGTTCAGGACTTAGCAAGTGAATCACCATTGCTTCTGCAGTTTGAAGAAGTCTGATTCGTACACCTTTAGGAAGACTACTTCTTACTCTATAGACGACTTTGAAGTTTGTTTGCGGTGTAGCTTGGTATCCGGATTCTATCAAATGTTCTAAGATGGAACTGCGGGGGCATCGATTTTCTCCTTTGTAAAACCATGTTGGTAAGTGTTCGGTGATACGTTTGGAAAGCGAGCGCTGAGTACGGCCGACATACATGGCTCCATACGAGCAGGTGAATTGATAAATACACATTGCTGAGGCCAGCAGCCTGTTACATGAATAGGCGATAGATGATTACTGAGGTATTCTTCTTTCGCTAAACAAGGGAGTCGACCCAAGGCTAAAGATTCTTAACAAAACCAAAATGTTTTTCTCAGTAATAATCGTCGTTACCTTGAATTATATAGAAGGACGTATTTGTAGTTTATCATTCCAGTGGAAAGGATGGTGGGTGTATTTACTTTGTTGCACATATGCATGCTTAAGTGAACCAGCCTTAATCATGGTTTATACTGACAGAAACAACAACTAGCAATTCATATATATCGCCAGAGATTTATATTCACCAAAGACAAACATGTGCAATACGTCCAGATGTGTTGTATTATCGCTGAATATAAAATAGTTAGAACCTGCATATTCAAAGCATCTTTTGCAAAGTTATTATCGTTATTATTCCCTTGGGTTTCAAGTGGAACATGGTGTGGTGGTGTTATACGGAAAATGTGTTCCAACGGAACATTGTTCTCACATATTACCATAGTTCAATACTGCATTAGCAACAGAATACGATATATTGTATTTATATATTCCATTTCACACGCTCACTGATTGGTTAAAGAATATCGATAGTATAGATATAAATAGCTGTTTGATCACTTGAAAATATAACTTGGCTTCCGTGTCTTGCCTTCTACTGTTACAATGGGGCTTCAATAAAAGTTGCATCACCACTTTGTCCTATCCTCTGAGGTCTTCTTCGGCTAGCCGTATAATCGCGCATAAGCTCTCATTTCCTCTTAGCACGATCTCTTCTATGTCAGCCTCGGACACACACCCAACTCGTCGTTTACGATTCAGGTTCCACTCAAACGATGACCTGGCGTGCGATGTAACTCTACAGCCTCCTCAGAGTGTTTCCAATCCATCTCCATTTTCTCTGGAATATTTATTGGGTAATAGGTTCTCGACTGGTTTGTTCCTAGAGCGTTTTGTTGCTATTTTGCTTTCTGACTGGCCATTTGATCTTCAATATAAAGCGAAGACAGCTCCACAGAGTGTAGATATTCAATTTTAAGGTAAGAGGAAGGAAGTCACTTGTTAGTGAGTGTTATGCTATCAGACTGTTTAAGATCCATGTTGACTACCTAATTTTATGATGACAATAATCCCCGAACTAGTAGTCTCAAGATGATTAAAGCTCAGGACAATAACACTTAGAGTTGAGTCGACTTAGAATATGCAGATGACATAGTCTTGTTAGAGGAGAATGCTGACAAAATGCAGAGTCTTCTGAACACCTTGAGCAGCAATCTTCGTATGTCTGACATGCGATTCGCTCCTGTAAAATGTAAGATGCTGCTACAGGACTGGACTACGTCTACCCCAGCTTAGTGATAGGGAGTGAAGTCATAGAACATGTTGACCACTTCACCTATTTGGGAAGTTGTATCAGCACCAACGGACTGATTGGTGACGAAATCTCAGCACGGATCCAAAAAGCTCGGGCTGCTTTCGCTAACTTACACCGTCTCTGGCGTAGGCATGACATCCGGCTATCAACCAAGGGACGTGTGTACTGCTCAGCAGTTCGCTCCGTCCTTCTCTATGGCTCTGAAACATGGCCAATACGAGTTGAAGACATGAAAAGGTTGACTGTTTTTGATCATAGATGTTTACGATCTCTTTCTCACGTTAGGTGGCATAATAAGGTAAGTAATGTTGACGTTAGGCGTAAAGTGTTAGGCAAAGAGGGAAAATCAATCGAAGAGGCTATAAAGTTACATAGATTGAGATGGCTAGGTCACGTGCTGCGCATGCCTAACCGTCGCCTCCCCCTCCCGAAGGGCATTACTAGCTGATATAGGTGCAGGTTGGAAAAGAGTAAGCGGTGGCCAAACAAAAACATGTCATCAATCCATGAAATCCTTGACAGTTAAACTGAGTCAGGTAGGGAGATGCAGACTTCCGGGTTGGGGCCCTCGGGACTCCAAGAATCAATGGCTGGAGACAATAGGTGACATGGCTCAAAATCGTTGTCAATGGCTTACGCAGATGTATTCAATCTCTGTAATCTTTCATATTCCTTTCTACCATTACTCATTCTGTTTCACTCTTATACTTGTCAAAACTCTATTGATTCTCTTCACTCATCTTCTTGTCTACCTTTGTGTGCTATTTGGAACATGGCAACTCGAACTGCTGCACTTCGGTGCTAAGTTCTCTGTTGAATCCAGCCAACCAGAGTTGAGTCGAAGCAAAAATGCACAAATGCACAATGGACACAGCTTACCTTGTATATTCTTCTTGAAGCCATACAGGATCAGGAACGTAGAATTTCACACGAAACCAGAATGTATAATTCGTTACACCTTAATATGTTAGTTTTAAGAAAAAAGGAATGTTGTAAATATTAGGCAGTATTATTAGTTAACAGAATGCTCGAATACACATTTTAACGGTAGGCCTTAGCATCACTATAATTGATCGTAAATGAATATTAGTTCAACTGATTATGGATACAATGCATGGTAAATATTTTCAGCCTAAACTATGAGTAATGCATAAAACAAAGTCCATTGAAAAAACAACAATAACACGAATGAATATCTGTGGCACTACGTAATACCATCTCATGATCAACATTATTGTATTTATGTTATCGTAGAATTATTATTTACTTTTTATTTTATTTCTCTACTTTCCCAGTGGAACATAGGGCTTCAAGCTAGAGGGGTTTTTATTTTTACGAGATGGGGTTGCTAGCCTCATGCTTAACTTTTTTCCCGTTATCAGTCTTATTACTGTCTTAGCGAGGTGAGGAAATGTGTTAGCAGTGGATCGGACCGACAACTGCATGCGTGGTTGGCGAACATTCTATGCTGCTCAGCTAACGATGCACAGTTATCATATCTCACTTCACTGAAAATAAATCCAGTGTCCAAACAAAAACCAATGTGATTAAATTCACGATATCCATAAACTATCCATGGGCGTTTATATCAAAACTGCAAATTTATGAATAACACCAATAAAGCAGGTGAATTTTATATCAGTATATCAAATCATTAAAACTCTTTGTACATTTGTTAAGTTACGCAATAAAAGACACTTATCATTATTGTGAAGAATACGCTAGTCAGCACAAAATTCATGTCTTTTGAGTAAATGGCCTAAATATGTTTATCTTCTTACTGTGAATAAATAAAGTCTGCTAAAGTATTTAAGTAATCTGTTCACACACACAAGACAGGCTAAGCCTTTGTGATTACAATATACTTAAGTAAGATTACATTTCTTATAGTTATAAGTGAAATTTATTCCATTCCCAATGGTGTATTTAAAGCTCTAGTAGACATTACTTTACGAGGAGTATGTATATGATAACTTCATATTTTTGTACTATTAAACACATCACAAGTGCAAATACTTGAGTGATAGCCAAAATGCATTCATTAGTACTACAGGTACGTTTTATATTGAAAGAATCAATGAAATTTCTAGTTAATTTATTTCTCAAGTATTGATTTTGTAGGGATTTTTTTGTTTTGATCGGTTGGAGGATTTCATAATGAGCTGATATCAGTTAGAGAAGCATTGAGAAACCTGCAATTACTTCTGGACAACTGTTTCGTCCTAGTTTGCGACTCTTTATCGGTATGCACCCACCATTAGGATTTGAACCCAGGACCTACTGGTCACAAGGCCAGTGAGCTCGTAGACCGTTAAGCCACTGGGACCCGATCCAATGGTCCATGAATTCTTATTTCTGCCACTTCCGCAATCCTCCAACAAATCAAACAAAATCCCTACAAAACCAATACTTTAAAACTGATCTGATGCTCACTAGCGACTGGCCCTATTCAAACAGTTACTTGGGTTTCTAGTGAGGTAGAGCAGGTTGAAGGTGAGGCAGTAACTCATCGAAAAAGACATTGCGAAGTGGTTACTGTATGTCATGAATCGGCAGAAGTTAGAATTCATGCACTGGTCATTGGATCGGGTCCCAGTGGCTTAATGGTCTACGAGCTTGGTGGCCTTATGACCAGAAGGTCCTGGGTTCGAAGCCTAATGGTGGGTGCGTACTGATGAAGTGTCCCAAACTAGGATGAAACAGCAGTGCAGTACTCCCAGGTTTTCCAATCGTTCTCTAACTGATGTCAGCTCACGATGAAATCCTCCAACCAATTAATTTATTTCTATTTCTACCTATAGCTCAATTTAGACACTATGTCATTTCTGGGGATTCCGATGATTACCAAATCCAAAAACAAATTAAGTTATACATTAAATTATTCTGTTGATCATCATGTGACTCTTTATAGTATTAAGAAGCAGAATTGAAGGCAGCTGTTAGTTAGATAGACATCCACAGGTTTGTCGAGTAAAACACAAGTACACTATGCAACTCAACTGTGAGAATAAAGAGCATGATTTAAGAAGCTAACAAGATTTCAAAGCAGATTTTAACACAAGTCAACATCTGTTAGAAAACGACGACAACAACCAGCACTAGTTACTGTCAGTGGGGAAAATTTGAACGAAGTCACTTCCTTCACTTATTTAAGCAGTATCGTTTCAACTACAGGCAAGCGGCACGGATGAGGATGTCAAAGCCAATCAAGATCGGAAAGGCAAGAGAGAACTTCATCATTCTGAAATCTGTTTAGAAATCTTCTGAATTCCTCAGCATAAACAACAAAATTAGGATTTTCAACATGAATGTGAAGTCACTTCTTCTATATACGGGTAAGAGACTTTCCACAGGAGTTACGAAAAGTATTTCCAACAGGCCACAGTTGACTTACATCAACAGCTGCTTTCGCTGACTCCAAACTGAAGACCAAATGGCCAGCTAGAAAGAATTAGAAACACGAAATTCTGGGAGCGAGTCAACCAAGAACCTATTGTCCTATCGGACACATGCTGAAGAAACTGTCATGTGATATCGCTCGCCACGCCCTCGAGCGGGACGCGAATGGGAAACGACAAATTGGGTGTGTGTCCGAAAGGGACACAGAGGAAATCGGGTGAGGAGAAGATGAGATAATGTGGAAAATCGTAGGGCGAGTCAAAAAAGACTGCAAAGAATGGAACAAAGTGAAGATGTGCGGTTGAAGTCCTATGTTCCAATAGCAACCCAAAGGAATAATAATATAATTGTTGTCCCCGATAATCTTCACTAAACAAAGCTACAATTACGGATAATAAGTTGTATTTGAAGTGTCCTCAATTAAACGGTACATTTTACTGTATTATTTCTGTGACATTGGTTGTCACCTGTTGAGACTTCAGGTGTCACTGTATTACTTTAAAATCACTTTAGAAGGAATCACCGGAGCGACATTTTAAGCCTCTCTTAGCTGTCCCATGATTGTTTGAAGCTATTTAGTAATGCATATCCAGAAGGCAAACTGTGTAACCTTTTTGATTTTTTTTATTACAGCTTGACTCCACACCGTATTTTTGGTACAAGTATGGAATTTTCAGCATGTGATATCGGTAGCCAAAATTTTGCAGGCCGACCATTGATATCAGGTGTGGGTCGGCAGGGGACCGAACCCCGGACCATGTGCATGGTCGGCGAGAGTCCTAACGACTGTGCCACCGACGCACCTGTCAAGTATGAATACTTTGTTCTTGAAAGCCACTCACGGATATTTGTTTGGTTCTACAGTCCACATATTTGTCAAGCCTGACGACACATGCAGATCTCTGTGATCGTTGTCTAAAACACTAGATAACATTTTAATTCGTGAAGCGAATATTTGAACACCACTCACATAAACTAATCCGGGTGGTTAAAATTGATTCGGCTCTCTGCACTGAGTGAGACTGGTTATACCACACTGATGAGTTGTTGTTTGGCGTTTAAATCACTTCATTATGACTAGCAAGCACTACTGGTCTACTACTGCAGACTGTTTCTGGTGTCGATATTTTATCGATCACTAAATGTGAGTGAAAGAAAACCGATTCATTGACGATACCGACTGATGCATTCACTAATTAGGCGGTCGTTCAATTCCACTCATACTAGTTGAATCACACACTTCTTTGGAATCTTAAATTTGGATAAAATACATGAGTACCGTTATCCACCTCATCGATAGTCTGACAGTTGATGCTAGTCTCTAATGAGAAGTATTTCTGAAGTAGTTGACTTTCTAGGAGCTGTTTATTTGAATAATTATATTTTAAAAACTTTGATATGTATTGTTTATTCCAAGAAATGAGCTACCATAACTTAGGAATCAACATTAGTGTTTATGTTCAAAACTTTCATCAATTAGTGTTCTTCACTTGACAAAAGGAATATCTTAGCTAGGTAAAAATTACCTCTCAAGTTAACGGAGACTGTAAAAATAGTAAGCGACAGGGCAACTTTATTGACTGCATCAGTTTTCCTTCTATTCCTTTACTTTCCTAGTGGAACATAGGGCTTCAAGCTAGAGGCTTATAGTTTCGGTAGCAAGGGTGTTTATTTTTACGGGGTAGGGTTGCTAGCCTCATGCCCAACCTACCCTCATTACCAGTCCTGTTGCTGGATCAGAGAGGTAAAGGAGTACGTCGGCCGGGGACCAAACCCCGAACCACATGACGGGTGGTTGGCGAGCATTCTACCGCTGTACCACCGACGCATCAGTATTTAGGGGAAAAAATAAGATTTGGTGATAAGAAGCTATAATCTTATCGGTAGCAATTTCTATTCGAACAAAGACTGATGCTTAATGTCACTCATCTGCAAGGTTTATCCTCAAATTTTAGGAAATTCTTAAGTTCTAGACCTCATCAGTCAATATCAAAGTTGTCTTACAACTTAGTGTGATAACATGTAAGTTGTAGTCTGTATACAGAGATTTTGTTGATTCAAACCTAACAACAAGAATCGACCACGGTATACACTAGTCTCATGCTACGTAGTTCAGTACCCAATTCACACACTTGGTTAGTAAAGTGTGTGTGACCGACACACTAAAAACCAATCGACTACATCTGTGATTGTTGGGCGATTAACAACAAATGCAGTGGTCTAACTGTTAACTTTCTCTGTGTGTGTGTGTGTGTGTGACCAGAGTGGAAAGTGGCAGGCGCGAAACTCAAAAAAAAAAAAATGAAAGACATTCTAAATCATATTTGTTAGTATGGTCAAAATATGAAATGAAAAATATTTGATTTTGAAGCACACAGCCATGAACTGAACATCGTTGAAGTACAGTCTGTTTCAAATATTTTTGAGAGAAATAGAATGCAACTCATAATACTAAATATTTTTACTGCATCTCAGTAGAAATGTATTGTTGATATGACTGAGTACTATGTACCACAGTCATCTCTGCAGTTTCAAATGACTACAAATATTCAAAAACATCAGGAATTATCTTTTTTCTACGGATTGATTGCACCCTTAATCCACTTTGAACAAAACATTTAGCTGCAAAGCACAACATGACCCATACTTAAAATTATGGTAAGTTTATTTTTAATCACTTCGCCAAGAGTATTAAAAATAAGCGAAAATTGTCACCACTACGGATTTCATGTCACATTTTAGAGCTGAATTTGAAATGCAGATTACAAATTCAAGCTTTTTAATATGAATTCTGCTTACCTACTTTCACATATTTTTGCACTGAAATTAGCCAGAATCGAAGTTGATTGACCTAATTGGACATTTTCTCATTCACACTTGGTTCAGAGTAATTTTAGGTCATTTACGCGTGATAATATGACACTTCAAGTTGATTATGATTACTATTATATAATCTAAACAAATTCTTCTTTTTAAACCAACCAATTAATCAAATGAAATTGAAGCAGCTAAGAATAGGTGACAACTAAACTATTGACTGATTATTTGAATTGTAAGCTAACGAGGCGAATTTCAAGTGTGTGACATAATACTTGAGAACTTATGGTCCAATAGAGTAAAACACCATTTTTCAAGAGTTGGTTTGTAAGGATTAGATTTGTTTTTACGAGTTTGACCATGGATTGATATCAGTTAGAGAACCATTGAAAACAAGCAGGGAGTACTGGACAGCTGTTATGCCTGCCCTAGTTCTGGACCCATCAGCAGTACGTACCCACCGCCAGAGGTCGAATCCAGGACCTTCTGGTCACAAGGTGAGCTGGCATACCATTCAGCTATTGGGACCTAATTTAGTGATCGGTTCATAAATTCTAACTTGGAAACACTTTGCAGTAGAAGTTTAGGTGAAAATAAGTGTACTAAAGTATTCGAAGGAATTCAGCTACACCTGCTTGCTGACTGGTTGTATATTGCAAGCCGTACCTCTTCGAATTATACGCAACAAAGTTTGTAAGGGAGTTGTACTCAATGCCATTTATGTGGATAAATTTAAAAAAGGTATGCAGAGTTCTTTAAACTAATGCCAGCTAACTATAGCTGTCAACGCATTTCAGCCTAATAGAACTCTGTGGCTTTGAACACAAGTTAGTTTTGAGAAATCTCCGCAAACCAAATTTATAGACGCTTAACACTTTTCAGTTAGAATTTCGTGAATGAACGTATTTAAGAAGGAAACCAACAAGGAATAGCTTTATTTGAGGTGTTAATCATTGTATTTGCACATTTGATTACAGAAATAATTCATGTCTACCACAATAAAAAACATTCAGTGAGCTTTCTTAGTTGAATGTGCCTAATTCTTTGATTTATGCCGCTTCACGATATGTATTTCACTTAGTCTGAAATATATTCTATATACTTGATAGCTGACTGATTTTAAAAATTTTGACCACAAAATGCCAAAGTAACAAATGATTTGTTTGGTAAGTGATGAATTTCTTACCTTTACATTGTTTCTTTATCCTTCTTGTTGGATCCAGCCATTTCTGAAATGGAAGACAGCAATATAGCTAAATTCATTTTAGTGAGACAAAGGTATGAACAACAAACATAAAATTTTATTCTGCAATAATCTACTATGGAGAAGTTCGAAGTTTTCAGAAAGTATTTGTAGCATGACTTACACAACTAAAATGCTGTAATTTTAGGTATTTTTTCATGAATATAACTTTCTGCCTGTGTGTGATACCCATTATCAAGTTAATCATTAATTAAGCTTTTACATTCCAGTGAGCCACAAATATATTCTATGAAAGACTACAGTTTATTCCAGGTCCGAATGTATGAAATCTATCAGTAAGATATATCACATTTAGAAGAATAAACTATCATATAGATGCAACTCAAGCAACGTGTATTTTCCGGAAGTTTAAGTCACATAACATTTCTGCTGAAACATCGAACATTCCCCGAAATTCATACCAAAAATATGTAAGTGAAACCTTCGTGTACAGACAGCCATAAAGTTGTGACCTATATTTCATTTCATCTTTATAATCAAATGTAACACTAAGTTCATTGAAGAGAATAAACTTTTCGCTGTGGAACAGCATGGCTTTAGAGCAGGTCATTCTTGCTTGACCAACCTTCTTTTGGCCAGAGAAAGTTGGGCAAGCCCAGCTGATGCTAATATACCGGTGGATGCCATATTCATCGACCATAGCAAGACGTTTGACAGGGTTTCTCATTCAGGTCTTCTAGTAAAGTTAGGTAGTCTGGGAATCAATAAAGTGGTTGTTGACTGGATTCAAGACTTTCTAAAGGACAGAAGACAAAGAGTACGAGTTAACGGGGTTTTATCAGCATGGGAATCGGTTAAGAGTGGCGTTCCTAAGGGTACAATTCTAGGCCCACTTCTTTTCTTGATTTATGTTAATGAGATTCCATCGGTAGTTAAGTCATCCTGCTTACTGTTTGCTGACGACATCAAGATATGGAGGGCTTAACACGATGACAGTGATCAACTTGCTTTGCAGGAAGATTTAAACTTGTTAAGTGATTGGTGTAAGCGCTGGGCCTTGGAGAGTAACTTAAGCAAGAGTGTAGTTATGCATGTATCTCATAGTCACGTGCACAATTATTCAATGAATGGCATTACTCTCCCAGTGGTCACTTAGTACAAGGACTTGGTGGTGTTTGTGCAGCATGACTTGAAAACAGCAACCAACTGTACAGCTGCAGCCACTAAGGGTTTTCGAATATTATGGGCCATACGCAAGGCTTTTGCGAACTTTGACGCTGATATATTTCGTATATTATATCCGACTTATATCAGACCTCATTTGGAATATGGGATCCAGGCAGCGAGCCTGTGTTTCAAATACGAAACAGACTTATTAGAAAGGGTGCAAAGAGTAGGAACTAAGCTAATAAAGGGTTTCTCAACCCTCTCATATGAGGAGAGGTTAAGTCGACTGGGTTTATTTCCATTATCATACAGACGACTTAGGGGTGACCTAATACTTGCATGTCATATTCTAAGAAATGATTTTGGAGCTAATTTATCTAATTTATTTCTTCCTTCTAGCACCAACCAATTGCGAGGACATCACCTCAAGGTTCAAAAACCACGATCGAACCGTCTGCGTCTGCAGATCCGTTTTTCGCATCGAATTGTGAACCGTTGGAACTCCGTACCGGAACACGTCGTATCAGCGCCATCCGTTGATTCATTCAAGGCGAGACTAGACCTCCTGTGTGTAACAAATCGAAAGGATTAACACAGGCATATAGCCTACTATTCTAAATAAATTGTAAACTGTAAACTGTATATGCCTTAGCAGTTGATTAAACGTTTGTTTCTATGCTGTCACCGTTAAGGGCGAGTACATTAAATAAAAAAAGCTTCTGAGATATTGTGCCAAAGGGGACATATGATAATAAACAACCAGTTTACCCGTCGTAATATTCAAAACCCTAAATGTTAATTAATTTTGCAATAAAAGTAATCCGAAAAAAAACAAGATATATACAAAATTGAATTCGAGCTATATGCTATATATATTCATAATAAAAAACTGAAATAACGATTTCAATAAGGGTAAAATACGACGTAGATAAAATGTATGTTGTAAAAATTTCAAATCAAAAAGATAATTAGACATATATGTGGACTGTGGTTACAAAACAGTAAGCAAATAAGCATTAAAAAATCGGACCTAACATTTCATTACATCTCCTTTACATGAGATAAATACCTGAAAACTATGACATAATACAAAATTACGTTTGGAATGATGCAACTTACAATTAAGTTTCCTTCCTCTGACTCAAAAATTGTAAATACAAGTCCGAAGAAATCCCGTTCAAGTAGCTCAAGATAATCAAATGTCAAATCGAGAAGTGCTTGACCAATGCACCGTTTCTAGAAATCTATAAGATTTACTGTAATAGTCTTACATCAACTCTAAATGCTACAGCTGTAGAATCCAGCAGCCAAATATTACAGGTGATGGAATTCTGGTAAACCGATCGATCGACCTGCTCTGCAGCCTCAACATTGTAAGTTCCACTAAACTTGAGCGTCATCTAGTGTAACAGCTGTTTGAAAACAATGTATGTTATCTGATCACATTATCAAAGTGCATTAAATAGCAATGATTCATGGTGCCGTCATACATAATTAATCCATATTTTTCGTTGACAATAAAAAATTATCAATCGAAATAAATCATCTTCTTTAATAACAGTATTCCAAACACCTGATTTCCAAAATAATTACGGAAACACGATATCAACCGTAACGCAACAAATTCAAGTATTTGCTTGTTTACATGACTGGTTAAAACGAATCAACTAGAAAACATAAATTGGAAAATGAAACATGCAGCGTCTGTCACAATACGATTGTAACATTTTGTTAGATGTTGAAATTAAAAACATTGTGCTTAACTTTTGTTTAAATCGGTTAATTTTGGAGTACACATTAGGCTGGACTTATATATCACGTTCTGCTGAATTTTCGCTTGGAAATTTTGTTGTCTCTTGTCTGTTGTTGTTGCTGTTGGTGGTGTTGCCCAGGAATCTTCATCACCTCTGTTTTCTCTATGTTCACCTGAAGTCCTATCTTTGATGCTTCTCCTGCCAACTTGTTGCTTTTCGCTTGCATATCTTCCAGTTTGTGGGAAATCAGACATATATCATATCGGCGAAGTCCAGATCCTCCAAGTTTTTGTGTGAGTCCATTTTATGCCTGTTTCCTCATTACCCGCTGTTTGTCGCATTATCAAATCTACTGCAATCAGGAAAATCATTGTCTTACTCCTGTCCTCACTTCGAAGGATTCCGTAGGTTTCCCGTTGTCGATTACTTGGCATGCAGCATTGTCGTACAGCTGTTGGATGGAAAACCCTTCCTATATGCCGATGACTTGAAGGTGGTCTACCACAGTACCACCCGAGAAGGGACAAGTCTGTTCCATAAAATTCAATAAGATATTGATAATTGTGAGACTTGGTGTAAGTCGTGGATTATACAGATTAACGTGGAGAAGTGTGGTCTGTTATGCTCAGCTCACCTTCGTATCTCAATACACATAACTTTGCACGACAAATCAATCACTATCTTTCCTTCTGTACTTGACCTCGACCTCCGTTACTGTGCTGATTTTAAATCTACTCTCCATGCTACCAACTAAGTTTCTAAGGCCAGAAGATTACTTGGATTTATATTTCATCACTTTCAAACCTAAGAATTTTGAATGCTACTTTATAAAATGAGTATACGGCCCCCCTTGAGTGCTGTCCATTTTCCCTGGTTCTGAGAGTTCCCTACAACTATCGTTGCACAACTCTCAAGATCGAACTCCTTTGGTTCAGTCGCCACCCGCTTAATCTTATTCTCCTATTTAAAATTCTCAAAGGAATTGTATACTTTCCCAATAATAACCTTTGCTTTAATTATTCAACGTATGAACTACGCAGCAACGGATCGTCTCTAAGTTATATTCTTTGTCGAATGAAGTGTCGTTCCAATTTCTCTACCATTCAATATAGGCAAACATGGAACTTCTTGCCAGGTGAAATCAAAACCGACACCACAATACAACGATTCACCCATCTACTAAATAAATATTTCTCTGAAAACAGTGTGGACACACTTTTCCACATGCTGAAAATTCGTGATATTGTTTCTTTCTTCTTTGACTTCGAAGAAGTTAGAACCGGCTCAGAAACGTTACAGTACTTTTGTGAGAGAATTGTTGGCTATATACCTAGCAGTCAAGCACTTCAGTTACTTACTACAGGGTCGGCATTTCACTATTTTTATTGACCACAGACCTCTGTGCTATGCTTTCACTACTTCGCTGGATAAACACTCCCCAAGAGAAACCAGGCAGTTGGACTACATCTCCCAATTTTCAACTGACATACAGTGCATCAAAGGAAACGCAAACGTGGTAGCTGATTCTCTTTCAAGAGGTGATATAGATCAGCTTGAAACTTCAGTAGATGTCAGTCTCGACCTTATGGCTCAGTTACAAAGAGACGTCGCAGAACTTCGAAATTGTCGCGGAAACTCTTCCTTGTGGTTCAGTTCCCTTATCAGATGCAACTATAGTTTGCGATGTATCTACCAGCACTAACCGTCCGTTTGTTCCCCTCAGATGCCGAAGAGCGTTATTCGACCACTTACATTCGCTCTCTCACCCTGGAGTACGTGCCACGGTCAGACTCATCAGCGAACGCTTCATATGTCCCATAATGAACTCTGACATTCGGAGATGGACACGAGAATGTCTCCAATGCCAATGCTCCAAAGTACACCGCCACACTGTCACAACGCCGAAGACGTATAATTTACCAGACAGGATATTTCAGCACGTTCGTTTAGATATTGGAGGACCATTGCCGACGTCAAGATGATACACACATACCCTGACAGTCATTGATAGATTTACTCGGGGGGCTATTGCGTGCCCCCTGAACGATATATCTACAGAAAATGTTGCTTTGGTTTTCCTCGACCGTTGGGTGTCAGATTACGGTGTACCAACTACTATTACATCCGATGGAGGTGCTCAATTCCAATCGACGCTGTTTCGTGAACTGACGAGACTCCTGGGAGTGAAACATATCTCCACAACAGCCTACCATCCGGCAGCGAATAGTCTTGAGGAAAGATTCCACAGACAACTGAAAAGCTCCCTGATGGCACAGAATGATACATCTAAGTGGAGTGAATACTCACCTCTGATTTTACTCGGTATCCGATCTGCGATCAAAGAAGATTTAGGATGTACAACGCCTCAACTCGTTTACGTCACCGCCGATTCGATGGACGTGAACATTGCTGACTTCACTAACCGACTAACTAGACAAATGCTTCAACTTCAACCAACAGCACCTCGACAATCTCCCCGACGAGATCAGACTAACAAACATCTGGAAACTTGAAAATTCGTCTTTGTTCCAGTCGACGCCATCAGAAAAGGATTGCAATCCCCATATGAAGGTCCCTTCCAAGTTATCAAACGTTCAGACAAACAGTTTACAGTGAACAAAATAGAAAACGGTAGACTATTTCTATTTATCGAATCAAACCAGCCTACACAGACAGCGATTTTGAAGCTACATCAACAACCGCACAATCAAATAGTCAGACATTTGATTCCACTCCAACGGCACCACGTCTTCTGCACCCTCCATATCAAACACGTAGTGGTCGACAAATCAGTAAACCGGCTCGCTACGTTCATTTTTTGGACTGATAAAAATATCCCTTTTTTTAATGTTTAGACATCATCTTGACTATTACCATCTCTTCGTACACCTTGATGTCACTGTTACTATAAAAGCTAATTATCACTATTATTTATTTATTTATATATATATTTATTCCTGTTTATGCAGGAACATACCAATTGTACAGGCATGGATACATTATTATATAAATTACACATATTTCGATGTATGGTGAATTCACAGTTTGGTTGTTCTTTCTGACATTAGAGTCAGTCGGAACAGTCTGCAAAATAGTCTGTCTGTGTAACACCTAAAGAGATATAGAAATATTGTCTTCACATTAACAAAAACCCAGATATCAGATGAATGTAATACAAATATTTGGAAAAAATAAAGCTTGAAGTCAATTCTCCTATATAACTTTGTTGTGAACAGCATCGTTGAGTTAAAGTTTATTGGTGTATTATTTTGAGTTCAGTGATGTATTTATTCCATTTTTTCAGCAGTCTAATCGTAGTTTTATAATAGGAAAGATATTTGATCGTGGATACGAAAACTAGATAAGGTCATGTTAGATTGTTTTACTGCATCAAATGGGGCCGAGGTCGATTCTAGAACTATCCATTTGCGTCAGCATGACAGACTGTACACGTAAGTTGAGCAGTACATTGAAAACTGTTTCAAAACCAGTTGCTCCTTTATTTCAGATCAAGAATACTCCTTGTACAGAATGTTGGCCAGCGTCTTCAAATGGTAGCATCGGATCGTTCATGGAATTTGAGTTTGAATTTACTTAAATGGTCATTTCAGTTTAAATGTAGGGTTGTTCGACCTCGATCAGGAGGTAAATAGAAGAGTACGCTCAGCACCAGAATATCAGAAAGAGAAAGTATGTGAACATGAAAAGAACATTAATGTATTATGCATATATAAATGTTTATAAATATATATAACCGTATAGTAAACATTTCCTATATTCTAGTTGTTTTTCATGTATTTTTGCGAAGTCTTAGAGTTTATTTAGTGTCACAATATTTAGTAGTGAGTCTAGGCGTTATAGTGTCCTAATAGCTGATGCGTTTTAGAAATAAGGAGTACGGTCTGATTGGCATAGTCATTGGGATGAAACAGTTTATATAGCAAGCGTTTGAAGGTTATAATGGAGTGACAGGTCCTTATTTCTAGGGGTAAACTGTTCCAGATCTTAGAGTACATGACTATGAAGAAGTTTGCACGGAGTGCTGTCTTACGGTTTTTCCTAGATACTGTGCACGTTTGGTTACGAAGGTTGTAAGAGCTTTCCGGTGAGAACTGTATCTCCTCACTGTCTGAGAATGATATTTTATGCAAGACTTTAAGAAAGCATGTCAGGTTAATGCTGAGTCGTCTCATCCAGAGTGGGTCGATACCTAGAGTTATACACCTTGATGTGTAGTCCTTTTTGCAGTCAAATCTTAGAAGTTTAGACGTGAAGTATCGTTGGACACTTTCTATTTTAAGCCTGTCACTTACGCGAGTGTTGCTGAGAATAAATGGACAATATTCTGGTAGTGGTCTGATACATGTTTTATATAATACTAGTTTCGCTTCGTAGTTGTGGAAATTCCTGAGTATGCATCCTAATAGCATCCTCGATTTACGCGTCTGTGTCGCCACTTGCTAAGAAAATGTCAGGTCACTAGAGTACTTGAGTCCTAAGTCAACAACACTTTGAAGTTTAGGCAAGTCAATAGATTCGAGTACCAGTTTGATATTTATTGAGGGTGCACCGAAACAGATCCAGCCACATTTTTAAGGTTGAATTTTTGGGTTCCATCTGGAGGACCATGCAGTTGCTCTATCTAGTTCTTCCTGAACAGCTTTCTGAAAGTATCCTAAGTCATCACAGTGGGACTTAGAATATTTCAGCTGAGCATATGTTTGAGAATACCATCTTTGACTATTCTTTCAATAATTCTGGATACTATGGGTGTAATATTGATTGGCCTATAGTTGTTGACTTCAGTTTTTCATCAGGATTTGTGTTTGGGTATTATAAATGTGGTTTTCCATTTATCTGGATAGGTTTGGCTTTCTAGGGACATTGTAAA